TCCTCTTCCTCTTCCTCTTCCTCTTCCTCTTCCTCTTCCTCTTCCTCTTCCTCTTCCTCTTCCTCTTCTTCCTCTTTTTTCTTCTGTCACCATTTCTGATTTTTCCTCCATATTCTGTATATTCAGTTCCCAATTCTGGAGATTCTCCTGGACTCCCGAAGAGCAGGTGGCAGTCACGGCTAGGAGAGGGTCTGTAAGTCTTTGGGTTAGTTGGCCACTTTGGCAAATAAATTTAATAAATAACTAAATGCACTAAGCAAACAAACATGGTATTACATCTGATTAAAAGTGTGGTTCCATTTTCCATGAGATCCCAAGAATCTTCCGAATCCTGCTGTGTTTGCCCTCCCCGTCTTCTGCGTTATTTCTTTCCATCTCCACCACATCTGGCAGAAGGTTCCTTCCACCTCTGGGCGTTTCTAGCGTTTATCCCTGTTGGATTTGCCTATTTGGGGAATTCTTCCTTTTTGGAGACTGCAACTGATCCGAATCAGGAAGGATTTCACTGTTTCCCCTCTTTCAGGATCCTTTTTAATTTCTTGCTGCAATTTACTTTGGAAGATGACTCAAAACACAGAATATTTTCAGGAGTGAAAAGGGATCCTGGCCTGATCTAACCAACTTGGTCTCCTGTTCTGGGCCCTCCTGTGCCTCTCATGTGCCTCCTTCTCTTCCTTCCCTCCAGCCAATCCCACTGTCACCATCTCCCCCACCAAGATGGATCCCACTTCCCCCAACACCATCCTCCTCTGCACTGCCAGGGGATTTTACCCCCTGGAGATCGAGATCCAGTGGCTGAAGAACGGGAAGCTGGAGGAGGAAGGCGTGGCCTTCGGGGAGGAGCTCCAGAATGGAGACTGGACCTACCAGCTCCAGGTGATGCTGGAGACCCAGCCCCAGCAGGGGGACGTCTACACTTGCCAGGTGGGGCATGTCAGCCTGGAGGCCCCCATCACCGTCCAGTGGGGTAAGCTCATCCCCTCCCTCCCCTCCTGCCCTGAGAAGGGGGAGAGACCCTCCCTGTGGGGGGAGCCGGAATGGACCCTCCTGGGGGACGGTGGGCCTGATCCTCCTGCTAAGGTGCGGCTCCTTCTCCTTCCCCAGAGCCCCGTTCCTCCAGCTCTGCCAGGAGCAAACTCTGGACAGGGATCATGGGGGCCGTGATAGGAGCGGCCTTCCTGTCTGTGGGGCTCTTCTCCTACCTGAAGAGCAAGAAAGGTGAGTCTGGGGGGCTAGAGGAGAGGTTATGGGGAGGGGACCATCTAGGGGAGGACTCTCATCGAGCTCAGCAGGTGGCCAAGAGGGTCTCCTTGAGGAATAGTTTTGGGAACTTCTGTTCGTCAAGGGGGTTATAAGGGAAGATCGTCCAACCTATTATGGGCTATCAGTGGGGAGAGGGACCCCCTGAGTCCTCCAGCCCATGAAGGATCCTGATTGGCTCTTTTTCTCCTTCCAGCCACTCCCATCCAACCTCCTGCAGGTGAGTTTCTCCTCTTCCTCCCCCATCTATAATAGCGTTAGTTCGTTCTGCAGCTCCGTCCGTACTCGGATGGAGGGTGGATCTAAGCCCTTGAGAATGATGACCCTATCACCTTCATGAACTCCTTCCAAAACTCCACTGTGAACTGGACCCCTTCCTTCCCCCCCAGTCCCAGATGATCCTACTTGGCTCTCCATGGAGACTCATTTGGGTTAACTAGTCAGAACCTTGACAGGCTGTTCTTCCTGACCCCGCTTCTCCTTGTGGGAATTCACACAATTTCTGGCCAAGTGACCCCCAGGCTGCCCCCTTTTCTTCAACCCCCATCCTGGCCCCATGTCCTTTGCTCATATGAAACGTCTGCAGGAGGGAGGGAGGGGGGGTCTCTCCTCTTGATTAACCCTCTAATTAAGACAAATACGGGGAATCCCAGAATCCCCTGGAGATGAAATGGGGAGGAATCCCTGGTCCTTCCCAGCCTTTTCCTCCCTGAAATGGGCGGATTCTCCCTCTATTCGTCCCTGCCTGTCAATCACCCCCCTGCAGTGTGGGCCTGCCTTGGGGTTAGGGGGCTGAAAGGGAAGAAAAAAATGTTATTTACACAAAAAATGTATCTTTATATTCTAATTTTCTTCTCTGTCTCTTTTTCTGCAGCCCTCATGGATTAATCCTGCTCTCTGATGCAAAGGATATTTTTTTCTTTAGTAGCTGATGATTCTTTGTCCTGTTTGCAACCTCTGAGAAATGGAGGCTGAAAGTGGCAGGTTGGGGGGAGGAGGAGGATGGTAGCTTCCTTTGGGGGCCCTCCTTTCTTGCGAGGGAGGGGTGGAGACCATCTAGACTGTCCCCTGGGATGCTGGGCCGACCTGTCCCTCTAGCCCCTTCATCTCTCCTGGCTTTGAACCCACAGCAGCTTCATCTACATTATTCTTCTGATGAATCACTTCCCTTCCCTTCGCTTTGCTGTGAAAGAATAAACTTTAGAAGCAGTAAACCGTGGACTCCTTCCTTCCTCTGTGCCGCCCCCACAGGAGGCTCCTCCCTCTGCTGCCTCTGGATCCCAGCTCCTTTGGGGGTCCGAAGACAGAACTGGTTCGGGACAGGGTTGCCATCTGGCCGTTTTTCCGGCCAAATTCGAGAAATCTGGCCATATAGAAATCTGTTTGGCCGTGAAAAAAAAAAAATCATGTCTCCAGCCAAATATATTTGGCTGGAAATTTGGCCATATGAAAGTTGCTTGGCCGTGAAATCAAAATTTTGACCAAATACCGGTTTTCAATACAATATATTTGCATGAAAATGACTGGCCGCCACGAGTGCTGCAGGAGCAGCAGCAGCAGCAGCAGCAACAGCCTCCCTCACTTGCTTGCCTGGCTGCCTGGCTGCCTGGCTGGGCTCTGCGCGCTGCCTCCAAAGGGAAATTCCGCATCCGCGCTGCCATAACTTTGCACTCAAAAGAAATCGGCCGTCCTCACAGGGTTGTTGTTTTGTGGGTTCGTTTGTTTCATCTGAGG